GTTCATGTAGAAGCAGAGCTATTTAAGAAGTTGCAGGATTTTTTCATTTCCAGAAAAAAAAAAACAAAAACAGAAACCAAAACAAAATAGAACAGTGTGCTTCCCATGGCAGAGAGGAGAGGGCTTACTGTTTGACTACTGACTTAGCAACGGTATCTCTGTTTTTCATTCATGACCTTTAAGCCTTATAGCACCCATCCTAAGCAAAATATCATGTTCCTTCCTTTTTCGCCTCCTGGTGAACATATTCCATTTTCTTAAGCTTGTGTGTACAAAACCGAATTTCATTTTTCCACCACGTGGCGTTCGGTGTTATTTTAGTACAGTTTCTTGGAGATGTTATATGTTGTAATTCGAGCCCAGGGGTTTGCTCGCTCTTTGGATCAGTGAAGAAATCAAACAAGCAAAAGGTATCTTTCTGCCTTAGATCTCTAAGGATTTGCAGTTGCCTGAAGAGGATAAGACCAGATCCCACCTGTGTTAAAAATGCTTCTCTTTGTCTAAAAGAAACAAATCTCTGGGCTAAATTCGCCAGTACTTCAACGTCATGAATAGAATCAGACTATGACCAGTGGGACATAAGTGTTTAATTGTTTGTCTCCTGGACTAGCAAGGGAGCATAGGCATGTTTCTTGAGTTACGGAGGAAAAGAGATGTATATATGAATTATTCTTTAGAGGCTTGTAAAGCCATATAAAAATTTATGGGCTTGCTGCATTATTCAAGGTACATAATTTTATTACAGATCTGAGCAGCACATGGGACAATTGATTTATTGTTACTGTCATATTTTACAGAATGAATGTTTTACAAAGATTTTGCTGCATGAATTTTAAAAAGTACAAGGCAATTCTTTGGAAAATGCCAGTCTAAGCTAATTTTTAAGGAAAGCAGAATTTTATACAGAGGCAAAAGTAATCTATTTGTATCATGGTATGCAGGCTTTTACTTAATGATTGAAAGAATCTCATCATCTGATCCAGTGCTTTTCTGTTAGCATCTTATTTGGGGTAGAGGGTGCAGGATGCTAGAAAGCAAAAATAGAGATATGCCTTAAAATACAAGACAATTCTTCTCTGTGACAGCCAACCAATCATTTTTATTATATAATAGACATTATTTGTTAAGTAATTATATATAGATGGTGACTGCTGGTAAACATCAGGTTCAAATTGCTTTGCAACAAGGTTTTCATTGAACACCAGAGAGAGGATTCATCTCATTCTAACACTGTTTGCGTAATGATTAGTCTAAGTCTAAACCCCAATCTATGATCAGTGCCCAAGATTGGTAGTTTGAGTTGCTCTGTGGAGTTGATTGTCTCCACTGACAGTAGGAAAAGACTAGGCAATGACCCTGGTTATGGAAAAATAAATGTGAAACACTTCAAGTCTAAGAGAAATAACAGCCAGTAGACTAGTTTGGCATTAAAACTGGAACTGAAATCACCTGAATTGGAAAGCAAAATGTTTTCATTCCAGTGTGCTGCTGCAGATCCTAATCTGCACTGGTTTTGGTTGCCACCTCTCGGGTGCCTACCCTGATTATATCTCCACGTTAGTGATAAATCCCCTCTTTCTGCCTGCTGGAGAGTCCAGCGAGGGGAGGAGGCTGGCAGACCACAGTTTTTAATATTCACTTCCTAAAACACAAGATGAAACATTTTGGCTATCCACCAAAACAGTTCCCTTTCTGGTCTAGTGTTGAAACTGATTTAATTTGTCACTGGTTTATGCTTTTTGAAAAAAAAAAAAAAGTTGAGGCTTAGATATTTGCAGATTTGATCTTTAAATTAGGAACCTGAAGCAGTCCATTTGTACTTGTCGCTGCTGTTTCATTATCCGTTCTACTGCTTCCATAGTGTGGGCGGAATATTCCTTCATGAAGCTGAAACTCGCTGTCTTTTCTCAAAGACCCTAATGAAGACAAATCGTGCAGTCAGCGGTTGTTTTCTTTCCAAGAATTCGTCTTAATTTTGCACTTTGTGGATGGTTCCTGCTACATTAGATATTTTTTTTCCTTTGAGTGCAGTGATCCAAAATGAAGCGAGTAAGAGCTACAGAATGTGGAAGAGTGCTGCAAAACTTCGTTTATAGCCTGCCTAAAGCAACCTTTCCGTAACCTGACATTTGGTTACATGGGACGTACAGCAGAGCTGCAGTCTGCTGTAGGGTGACTGAATCATTCATGCTGGAATCCCTTTGCCTATCACTACTTTGGACACAAGTGGTACATCTGCACAGCTAGAAGGGCTTTTCCATCTATAATTCTTTGCACGAGGGAATCCTAGAGTCAAGAGCAGTTGATAGCTACCACGAGGTGCTTGCATGTCTGATGATGTCCTGAAAAATCAGCCTCACCAGACTCCTTTTGAGCTTAGGGTTTATGTAAGTAAGACTACATTTCTTCCAGGTGGGAAAAAAAACCACAGCTGACCCATGACCGAGTTTAAATTCTCATCTCAACAATATTTTTAAAGTGAAAACAGAAGTTCTGACTGAATAAGAAGCTGGCATTAAACTATGCCTACCTGAAAGAAATGATGTGAATCACTGGAACTAATCTTACTTATTTACAGTCCGCATAGTTTCCAGGCCATGTCTAGTCCCAGGCAGTGGTGTAAGAAAGTTTCTTCAATTCGTGATTGAAATGCATTTATCTCCAAATATTGCCAAGCTAGACTCTGTGACAGAGGAGGTTTTATCTGCTAAGTAAATTACTCAGAGTCATTGTTTCTATTTTGACTTTACCATAGGATGTGGTTTTTCAGCCTGTCCAGCTAGGAGTAGATACTGCACTCGTTAATAAAGAACAGGACTGGATCTTCTGTTGACAAGCTCATTTCTTTTTACTGCCATGTATGGGATGAAACCTGGCCCCTCGCACAAATCTTTGTCACAGTCCCCCTGGACACTGCAGAATCCAAACTTCCTCTGTTGCAATTAAGATGGGATGTCAGTGCCACATGGCTTTTGCCAGGCACACTGGGTGAGACCTAAAGTCTTCTATCTCAAGATACTGTCTCCAACAGCAGCCAGTAGTGGGTGCTTGGGGAGCAGTGTGGTCACCAACTCAGAGACTGTGTGGTATCTACCTGATTATGGCCTCCCAGCTTCTAGTGTTCACTGTTTTTTGGACTGTTGGAGAAGGAGGAAGCACAGCATCTAATACCCCTTCAAGATTTATCTTCCGTTAATTTGGCTAACCACTTTTTGATTTCATTCTGGCTTTTAGCCTCTGTATTGCTAAGGGCAGTGAATTTTGTAACTCATTACATTTCTGTGGAAAAGTACTGCTGCTTGTTTTCTGCTGCTTCTAAATCTCCCCTCTGGTAATTTCTGTGGATTCCCACTAGTTCTTATATTATGAGAAGTAGTAAATAATAACTCCCTGCCCACCTTCTCTGTGCTATTCATGATTCATAGACCACTGTCGAATTCCCCTTCTTTCCCTGGCTGAAAAGTCATGTTCTGTTTACTCTTAGCTCATACAAATCTATGCCATTTCAAGTGCTATATAAGAAGTTTTGTTAATTAAAAGAGGTAAGTTAAACACACATGTGGGCACAGAGACTTAAAAGCACTGAGAATGTGTAGCTATAGCTGACATTACTGGTAGGCATCTTTAGGCTGAAAATCAGGGCCTTAGTTTAGAGATATGGAGAAATCAATAAGGATACACAAAAGGATTTGACTCTGTCTGAGCTGGAGAACAGCATCAAGCCACATGGTAGGCGTTCTGCAGATCTCTGCTCCATTCAGGTGCTGTAAAATACTTATTGTCCCTGCTGAATATAAGGAACCAGCCTTTCTGAAATTATCACCCCAAAAAATTACTGTACAGTAACTTGAAAGACGCTTAGTCTTACCCTCCAAGGTAAGACTGGCACAAGAGTTTTTGAAAGTTAGGGATTTTGAATCCAAAACCCAAAGACTTTGGTGCTACCAATGGACTGTCTATTCCTGTACCCCAGGAACTGAGAATCTGCTGAAGAGGAATGTTTTTAGGAGCAAAGCTATTCATACACGAGTCTCAAATTATCTTCAATAGCATGCTCAGCCAAATCTGAAAAAAGAATACAAGCACACATTAATTAAGAATTAACATAATTCTGTTCCTTGAGTGTGGTGTTTATTAAAATATAAACTCTGTGAACATACACTTGAGAGGAAGCTTCTAAATATTTTTAAAAGCTTAATTTCCAGTCACCCTTTAATTTATTTTTTCATTAAGAGAGAAGAAAGATGATGGCACTTGACTTTCTGAAACTTCCCGTTTGCTTCTCAGATATAGCATCAAAAAGTTGCTGAGTGTCCTTAACTCTGCTGATGGGGCAAAATCAGGAATGTTTTAGATTTATATGAAAAGCAGAGACATGAGATGACATTTTTTCAAAAGTGCCTGAAAGCCGCATTTGTTCAGACAACTAAAGGACCAGAAAATATGCCAAGGGATTTTCAGGCGTATGTGCTGACCACTAATGCAGTTTTCACATTTGAATTTTGAGCAACTTACATTCTTGGGCATTGAAATACTTTTAGAAATTTGACTATTTGTTGTAGTACCACAAAATGAGTTTTTAAAATATAATTCTTTGATGGAAGACCCACGTGTCTGGTCACTTCCACCACTGCTTGGAAAATAGTGTTTAACTTTTGTCCTGCCACACCAAGTAGCATAACACCCAAATACTCTTGTCAGTGTCGGTGAACTGTCCCTTAGTAGTAGCCTGAGCTCTCACACCACCTCACAACTAGCCACGCTATTTGGAAATGCTAATGGTCCACAGGAGGCTTTGTACCCCAGAAAGCATCTTTCCCCAGGCTTGCTGGTGTGGGAAGTGCACAGCACAACTGGGACCAGTTTGCGTCCAGACGCATCTCACAGAACAAAGAGGGCAAAGTTTACTAACAATTCTTGGCTCCCCCTCAGTTTGTCTTCCACTTTGCCCTGCACATCTGTTTTTCTGCCGATTTACTGAACCTCTTTGTGTTTTGCAGAATGCCAAAGCCAGCTACGACTTCAGCAGTAACGATCCCTATCCCTACCCTCGCTACACAGATGACTGGTTTAACAGGTAAATGGATTTTGATCAGCCTGCTCTTCACTTCAGTTTGCTTAAGAAATTATAAGTATTGGCTGATGTTTGTTGAATGTCTGTTTTCTGCTAAATTCTGTGGTTGCCAAAACAGAAGCTGTAGTCTCATTACTGCTTGAAAATTAGAGGTTACTTCTGACTTTTGTTTATTTTTTTTTTAGTTAGCCTCTAGATATTGCTGAGCAACCATATTATGGTTTATAAATGAAGTTGCTGCTTCAGAAGAGTGTATGTGTAAATTGTTTGAATGGGTGATAGCCACATACCGCTTTCTGCCAGCTATCCTGCGACATTATGGTAGCCCAAACCTGTATATGCTTAATACAACTTTGACTGGTTTCCCGTCTACTCTGTCTGAGGCAGTATCAGTGCTAGCTAATTTTAAAGGGAGTAAGCTGGAGACAGGAAAAGGCTCTGTGGGGGAAAAAGTCTTTTCATCTCTCCTCCAGTATGCTCTGAACTTAGCCAGTTTCCAGCAGG